ATCGTCTCAAGATAATAATAAATTCTGACTTTTTTTATTTATTGGGGGATTAATAACAGTCAAAAAACCACAAATCCACAAATGGGTAATAGGGGAGGGGACTTTTTCTGTTCTCTGTCTTCTTGTTCTTGTGAACTGGAACAGTACTAGGGCTGAGGATGATGATGTTTCACGAGTACACGAGAACACACAAGTCCACATAATGGGAAACAGCCTTTCAAAACTTATTCTTTTAAAATCCCATTTGGCAGATTTCCCTGTCTATGTGCAGACCAGTAGAAATGAGACTGCACTTCATCGCCCTTAGCAACAGCATTTCTATTGGCCTGCACTCAGATCACTTAGGAATGTGGAAAAAAATGCAACAATACAAAAATCTGTCTCCTCAAAACTAGGAAATCAAATCATAAAAATTAGCATACATAGGATCTTTAAAAACATGAATTACTCTCAAAACTTTTTCAATTGAGTTTTTCAAACTTCCTCTTTTAAAACTTGTTCCTTGGTTTTACATACTGGAACCAATGTCTCTCCATACATTCTGTTTATTACCTGGATCCTAAACTCACTTGTTGGAACTAGGGGCCAGAGCAGAAAACCTTTCAGACGGAACCCCGAATCGCTGAGTTCAAAACGGATCCACACACGCTTTTAAAACAAGTTTAACATTTTATTTAACACGTATATAAATAGATCATCTTCCAGACGTCATGGAAACAGGAGCCTATCAGAGTCCTCTGGACAGCGGTTAGATCTCTGATCGAAGGTTAGGGAACCTCCTCAGCAGAGTGGTGGCCTGTTTCGGCGACAGACGTCCTCCCGCGGCGTCGCTCTGCTGAGATTTGTTCTTCATGGCTGCCTGTGGGACACAAACATTGTTTAACTGCAGCCGTTTTCTGCTGGTTTCATGCAGAATGAAAACTGAGTGGCTTTCAGTTTTATATAGCAGTGCAGCTCCTCATTAACCTGAAGAATCTATGAACCGTTTCTACGCTTCATATCTATTACTTTAGCTTAAGGTTCAGATATTTTGCAGACTGACTGACCAGGTAGTTTGATTCTACACCAACAGATGGCGCCGCTTTACCCTGAAGAATCCTGGGAAATGCTTCCAACTCTGCTTTGCCTTTAGTCCAGAAATTAGTTATACCAAAAGATTTGACTGTATTCATTTTGCTGTCAGATGATCGGTTAAATAGTTTATTCATTTCATTCATTACTTCCAGAAGTTTCTTTTTTTTAATACTTTGTATTTTCCAGGTTTGTAAAGAGCAACAAAAAAGGATAAAGACATTATTATTTGAGGGTTGGGGGGGGGGGTAAGCTAGTCTTCTTATGTCTGAGTTTCAGAAGTGGGCGTTTCAGGGTCACTTTCCAACCAGTTTCTAGTAACCACCTTTTTAGCTGCGATTATCGGGATCCTTTCCTTTATATGTCTTCACTCTCCAGCCAACCCAAGGACACCATACATTGGTCCTTTCACTTCTTCTATAGCCTGAACCAATTGATCCCAGTAGGTGTGAATGTTTGCATTGCCAGGATAGCTGAGAGTGACGGGCGTTCAGACTGTCCACATTGCTGCTGAGTGTGGAATAGTTTTTATTTTTTAATTGAGGTCTTATTAAACAACGGATCAATTTCTCCAGCTGAAGTCTCTGCAGCCTGTAGAGCTTATGGCGCACGGTTGGGTTTTACTCAATGAAAGCAGACACTCTTTGACTGTTTCACTTCTACACATTACATCTAGAATGAGTCATAATTTAGATATGAAGCAAATTAGTGACAGCAGGCATCTGAGGGATTACATTTTCAATCTCATTAGGTTGAGTTTTTATTCATTTCTGGATCAGTTCATCAATTTCTGTCTTCATGTGGTCATGCAGAACGTGCAGCGCTGCACGGCAAGCATGAGCAAACAGGATCCAGCAGCACGGCTGATACTGCTCAGCACATTACAGCATGATGATGCGCTTTAAACATCTGACTGACGACCCACTAATTTTTATTTCGCCTCATTGATGAAAACTTAAATCCATGACTCATCGTGTTTTTCGTCTTTAAAGATCCATGTTTATCACATCAGTTTTCATTATCGCCATGAAAAACAGGAAAGTCAAGGTAATATTTTCGTCATCCTTGATTAAAAACAACACTGTAACATTTACTAAGTTTAGCAGCGGATTTCTCTGCTGTGTCTCTGTGCATCCTTTGTTCTCCGAAACAAATAAAAGCAGATTTTATACTAAATTTAGCAGATTTTTAAAAACAGATTAAGAAGCAGAACTTTACAAATATAAAGATTACAGATATAAAGCCAATCAGTATTTCTCTCACACCGGGCTATAGGCCCGTCTCTCAGCTTCTGCTTCCTTCAGCTGTGAAATTAGCACTGCTGCCTTACAGAAAGAAAGTTCTGGGTTCGATTCTTGGGCCAGGGTCTTTCTGAATGGAGTTTTCATGTTCTCCCTGAGCATGCGTGGGTTCTCTCTGGGTACTCCGGCATCCTCCAACATTCCAGAAACATGACAATTAGGTTAATTGGCTTCTCTTAATTCTCCTTAGGTATGATTGTGTGTGTGAATGGTTGTTTGTCCTCTTTGTCTCTGTGTTGCCCTGGCAACCTGTCCAGGGTGGACCCAGTCTCTCGCCCGTAGTCAGCTGGAGATAGGTATCAGCACCCCTCACCACCCCAGCTGGGATAAAGCGGGATGGAAAAAGGTGTAGCCATCAAGACAGTCTTAAGGTCTGGTTATCCTCCCACAGCAGTGAGCTTGTCACAGATATTTTTGGTTTATGCCCGATATTGAAGCATGGTCTGCGCTATGTTATTCCACGTCACAATGCAAGAGGGACAATCAGGAACTAGCTGTGGGTCTAGATACGGTCGAGGCGGTGAGGAAGTGGGGGCAAGTTTGAGGGACATGAGCGCGAAAAAGAGCGGGGATCCGGGTGGATAAAGGGTCCCAGCGTTCTCACGCACCTCGCTCCTCTAGCTGGTCCATCTTTACAAGTTGTTTTCCTCAATGGCGGTCATACAAACAAAACAAGCCGGTAAAGTACCTAACAGGAAATATGCATAGTGTAGAGAGGATGTAGATTTGACCAATCAGAGGCCTCCTGTCTGCGGTCACCTACAATTTTGGAGAGCTGCAGCAGAGTGTTTTCCTTTAGTTGTGAAGCATAGAGGTGGAAGCATTATGCTGTGGGGCTATATGACCATAGCAGGGACTGGTGAACTTTACTAAACGTCTCACATCTTCTGACTGCTCAGCAGATAGAACAGCGCCCTCTGCTGGTCAGATCTGAATCCCCTGATCGGGCTGGAAAAGTTCGTCTCAGACCAAAGGTCACAGCTAGAAGAAGAAAGCAGCTTCTATCCGTTATAGATCTAGACTCACCTGGGCCTTCTGAACGCATGAGTAGAAGGTTTGGACCTCACTGGAGCACAGCCCGTCCACAAAGTTGTTCTGCTTCCAGCAGGCCATCAGGAGGGACATCTCTGTGATGCAGGAGGCCTCTGGAGACACAAACACACTCAGCATTGTTCCAAACTTCATCTTTGAAAAACTCCATTCTTGCTTCAGTGCCCGTACTCCATCGACAGACTGCCAATCAAGCTGTCAAACTTCCATAAACAGGCTCTAACTTGCAGGTCACTTTTATACAAACTCAATTTCTCCCCTCATTAATGTTTTATCTGGAACAATATGCATATCTTACATAGAAACAAGACTCTCTTTATACAAAACTGGTTTTAAACATGGTATTGTTCTGGTAGCCCAACTGTTGAATAACTCAAAACAAATTCTAACATATGACGACTTCACTCATAAATTTAACTTCTATCCTCCAAGAAGAGAATTTGACATTGTAACCAGACCCCATGGGATCATCACCCTATTTAGAGATGAGAAAGAGTTAGATCAAAGGAATGTTCTTGTCTCCAGCAATATTTCAATAAATGGTTTATCTTTTCTAGACAGAAAAGTCAACAACAAAGTTATTAAAAACTTTCTATGTGCAAACTCTATCCCCGCTTCCAGGTACAAATGGTCCCCCTGTATGAAAACATTAACTGGAATAGAACCTGGAGTAACCCACATACATTTTTAATTACAAACAAAGTAAAAGAAATAACATTTAAAATCCTCCACCATTATTACCCCTGTAATAAGCTTATTTCACAATTCATCCCTTTGTCTTTGTTTTCCCTTCATGCAAACGTGAACTGTAACTTTCTAAGTTTTGTAATTAAAAACAAAACAAAAAAAACACTGAGCCTTCCGGAGGGAGGGAGGTTCTGGGACCGGCCCGGTTCTTACCTCCTTTCCTGGGTTTCCTGTTGGCCACTGAGTCCTTCAGAACCAGCGGTCTGTTGGGTTTCAGGGTCGGTTTCCCGTCCTTCCTGCTCAGCAGCCTGCTGACCTTCTCCTGGAAAGCAACTCCTCCCTGCGCCGCCATGTCTCGCACACCGAACCGGCTTCTTAGCGGAGAGATACCGCTGCTTTGGACTCAGACCGACCAGGACCAACCAGCAGCCGCACCGGACGGCCGTAAACAAAACCGGACTGTCGTGTTGTCTTGCTGTAGCGTTTAATGGCGGTTTTTT